GCCCGCCCCCCCGCCGGCCTCGGCCTCCTCCCTCCTGCCGGGCCGTCCTCCCGCCGTGTGCCGCCCGCGCCGGGCAGGACCGGGGTCACGTCTCCGTCACACCCGGGCGCCCACGGCCTTCCCACGCCCCGGCAAGCACGCTGCCCGCAGAGCCGGCAGAGCCTCCCGGGGAGGCCGCCTTCCTCTCCCTGCCCCGCGGCGTTAGGCGGCAGTTCTGCCGTCCCCGTCTCCTGTGGCAGCGCAGGGTGAATAGTCCCTGCAGCGAGGCAGCCGCCTCCTTTGAAGCGTTGAGCTGGTGCCTCCACACCCCCACACATGCTCGGGAGAGCTCGGCACAACGAATGTAAAAAGCAGCCCTGTCGCTGGTTCCAAAGCATAAATGGTTTTGTTTTTTTAAAAAAAAAAATAAAACTACTTTGCTCAGCCCATTTTTACCAAAATGTTTATAAAGCCCACCCTGGGGTTTTTCTAAGGTAAGAATGTCTTCAGCATAAAAAACTTACTGAAAGAGGAAACTCTGTGACAAACACGTGTTTCTGCAAGGGACTACGCTGGTTTAAAAAGCCCTAAAAACAAAACCTTCCAGTTTTTCATACAATAGCTACAATCTCGTCTAGAAAATGCAGAACAGTATTTTAAAACGTCTGAGAGGACGAGACGCGCAGGAGGAAAACGGCGGCGTGCAGGCAAGAGCTGGAGAGAAAGGGTGGAAGAAAACAAGGCGAGGCCAGATCTCTGGAGGTCACCTCATCTGTCCCCCCTGCCCGGAGGCAGGACCGGGCCACATCAGCTCTGCCTCGGAGAGGAGGTTACACTGCGAAAGGAGTCGGTAATTTCCTTTGCAGTTTGCAGCAGCAGGAGCGTGCGCACACGCCTGCACACCCGCACGCGTCCCCGGCCTCCCTCCTTCCCTCCCGTCACCTCTGCGGTGCCCAGAGCATTCCTGGTCAGAGCAGGGTTGCACAGAATAGTAACGCTGGAGTTACTTAAATCAGGGCTGTTTGTTCGCAGATAATACGATTGATTTCCTAACCGAGTTCTGAGACAGAGTAAAAAAGAAACCACAGTGAAATGCAAAGAAGCCTTCTGCCCACTATTGTTCTGCAAAAGCAGCAAGCACCCATCCTCTGCCTCGCGGAATAAGGAAATTGGGCTTTTCCTCTCTGATTTGTTGTTACACCTTTTGGGATCTACAGAAAAAGGGTTGTTTTGTACACAAGCGCGTATAGTAATTATGAAATACAGAGGAATCTCGGTATTGCACTCTGCCCGAATCTCAGCTGTTGTACACACAAAAATAGGTGTTTCGTTACTCCTCAGCGCGGCTCTCACAACAGCACGCTGTCTGCGGGTTTTGTGTTAGGGTGCTACGGCATCGGCGGTTTTGCCAAGAATACGGGGCCGGCAGGGACAGCACGCTGCGGCCTCACGCTGCCAGCTGCCACCAAAGTGCTCGGAAGCATGTAAAAACCCCCAAGATCAATGAGGCACCAATCTAGTAGTAGTAGTAGTATTTTCTTACTGGCAAAACCACGAAAAAACTAGTCAACTGTCCAATCCTGAGGGCAAATTAACAACACTGAATAATGATAATAATAATAAAAAACATTATATCTACAACCTATCGGTCATTAAGTGTACCTGATATGCTTTGCAATAAAAGGAGAAGAAAAGGTTCAATGCTAGGGAAATGTTAGAGCAATAGTTAAAAACAGGATGAAACTGTGAATAGTAGGATAAAGTAGTACAATATTTTATGCAAATGAAAAAACTGTTTCCTGATTTGAGGAGGGTATTTTAATTTTAAACTCTGGGTTTCACTTACTGAATAAGCTTGGGCTATTTTTCAATTCTACCTAATTTTGCATGGGGCTGTGTGGTCCATCAGCGCACCGGTCGTGGCCCGGAGGAGCGAGGAAGCTCGTCTGCTGTTAGAGACTGCAAATTGATTTTTGCCCTTCAAGAGGGAAAAAAGAGAGCCCAGCCCTGAGCTCACGTCCCCGGCATGGCATTTTGATTAAATTAGAGATGCATTAACGTGAGCGTTTCTGGTCCATGATGAGGGCGGATAAAGTGACCTTGACGCACGGAGCCATTTTCTGAGCAGCGCGAGCGACAGCAAGGACAGCCGCCCTGGGATGCTGGAGGGGAGGAGCAGCGCCGCGCCACCGGCCTGTCGCCGAGACTGTTGACACTGCAAACGTTAAGGGACAAACACCGGTTTTAATTGTTTTTTTTAACTCCTCATGCAAAGCCAGCGCAGGTCGGGTGCTTTGAAAATAGCACTGTTATCCTTCCTGTGCTGCTTCAGAGGAATTTTAGTCCCAGCAAGATGAAAGGACCAGCGTAGCTCCTGTGACAGTGAATGGCAATTGCAGCTCTGCCCGGATTTGTCCCCAAAAGTGTGATTTCGGTCTCACTTGGATGTGCATTGATGCCTTTCCTTTGACACTGACGGAGTCGCTCTGTGAAACAAGGTGAACGCCAGGCCGAATCGAGATCGCCCGTGCTGCCTCTGCTCCCGTCCCAGTTCTGCAGCTCCCGGGAGGTTTCGCGTGCTCCAGATCTGCTTATTCCTCCCTGCCTGATCCAGGGCATTAGACACAGCATATGTCGCTTCAGCCTGCAAACAGGCAGCTGCAGCAGCCCCGCTTCCCCCTGCCCGGCGCAGGCAGGGGTTCCTGCCCTGCCCGAGGGGCTCCAGGACGGACTCGGTACAGGGACATCTCAACACGTACCACAGGGCTGAAACCAGCGCTGGGGAGTAGCCCAGCAGGTAACTCGCCTGGCGGATTTCGCAGGTTGTTACGGCTGTTAATTAAGCAATGAAACATAACGCTCGTGATTTATGTCACTAGAGCAAACCTTCCTGCAGCAGTGGCTGGCACCAACGTAGCCCCCTGGCCGGAGGGTCCCAAAGCACTCGATGCCCAGGAAAGAGAACGCAGAGTTGACTTTGCGCCGTTCCTGCCGGTGGGCCGGATGCCCGAATACCCCTGGGCGAGTTTTAGAGCCGAGCATCATCGTTTGTTTTCTCTGGCCGAAGCCCATTTTCAATCACCTGTAGCTGTCTGTGAGCAGGGACTGTGGCTGCGGTGACCTAATATGGTGAAAGCGCTGGCGCTTCGTCAAGGACCACAAACAGCCGTGCTGAACTGCGTGCTCTTCAAGGCGGAGCCTGTGTCTTCATACATGTAGGCTGCGGTGTGCAATCATCGTTAAATAGTAAATCACAAGAGGCTGGAGGGATCTCGGGGATCGTCTTGTCTGCTGAATCAAGCAACCTCACGCCTGACAGATGTTTTGTCTCACCCATTTTTTAAAAGCTCCAGTGACAGAGATTATGGTACCAAACATCATGTAAATGAAAATACTTATTTCCTGAAAGAGTCCCCCTTCCAGCAGCACATCAGCGTTTAGTGCCACATCGAAATATGTTTGGGGAGCACCGATACGAGATGTGCTGAACACCTGCCCTCCTGCCCTTGCCTTCATCGTGGTTCCCACATCTGTACAAGCCTCTCCCTTGCCTCCAAGGGAGTTTTGCCTCGGGTGCATGCTGCAGCCAAGCAGCCCTTCCTGCAGCGCTGTGGGTTTCTTTGGGGGGGTCCCCACTGAGCAACACTTATTGTCTACGTTTGTAGGGCCCTTTTTTCCAGTCCCCTGCACTCACGGCCCTTTTCCACGGCACACAGCAGTTTGGCGTTTGCCCAGAGCCATGCAGCAGCCAAGTCCGAACCTGCTCGGCAGCCCTGGCACCTGCTTGGGAGACTGAGCTGGGAGCCAAGGGCAGAGCAGAGGCATCCGCCCCGGGCACTGCTCTGATGAGGTTTCCAAACCCCAGAGCAGCCCTGTGCC